CGTTAGGTGTGGCCAAGTATTCGCTGCTCGGTTGGAGCGACGGTGGGATCACTTCGCAGATCATTGCGGCGGCGAATCCGCTGAGTGTCCACAAAGTGGTGCTCTTCGCCACCAAGTCGTACATCTCGGCTGAGGACAAGCGTATGCTATTGGAGATACAGGACGTGAACAAATGGCATCCGACAGCACGTCGGGCCTACGAAGAGGTGTACGGCGCCGACCTGTTTGAGCGCTTGTGGACCCAATACGTGGCCGCCTATTGTCGATACGACGATATCTGTACCGCCGATTTGGCGGCCATTAAACAGCCGACACTATTACTGTACGGCGATATGGATCCGCTCGTGGATCCCGAACACCCGAAGTACCTCCTGAAGCATATACCGCACGCCCGCAGCCATTGCTTCCCCACCGGTAGACATAATATTCACATCAAATTTCGCGATCAATTCAATCAAATTGTTGAACAATTTTTGCTCCATTAGTGGATCTGATTTATAGGAGAGATTTATATGACTTTTTTAAATAAATATTTTTGTTAAAATTTGGGTTTAATTTTTATGAATATAAGTTATAATTTTTTGGTTCACTGTTTTGATATCCTTTTTGTGACTTTTGTTTTTGTAAATGTTTGTTATAGTTGTAAGCCTTTTGGCCATTAATTGAAATCAAAGTATAAACAATTGTGGCTATTTTTCAATTAAATTTTTCGTATTTTATTAAGAGAGAGAGAGAGAGATGTGAACAGCACTGTTGGTGACTGCATTCTGACTGAACTATCGTATACAAAACTAAATACTATATTTTTACTTAATTATTGCTACAATTATTAAACATATCCTAAATTATTTAATAAATACAGTATTAACAAAAATTACCACAATATTAACCATGTATTATACTGTTAACCGCTCGTGTGTGTGGGCACAGGCGTTAGGTGTGGACAAGTATTCACTGCTGGGTTGGAGCGACGGTGGGATCACTTCATTGATCATTGCGGCCGCGAATCCGCTGAGTGTCCAGAAACTGGTGGTCTTCGGGGCCAACGCTTACTTGACGGCTG